CTGAAAACCAACAAAGACACGGTGATTGAATCCGACGTGCAATTTGTGACTTTTGGCGCCAAACCTAACACTGAAATCATAAAAACATTAGACCTTTCGCTTCTTGAATCTGATACAAGGTTGGTTAAAGTCAAACCCACACTTGAATTAGACAATGAAAACTACGATCGTATATTTGCTGCAGGAGATATCACCAATATTCAAGAAACTAAAATGGCTTTCCGGGCAACGCAGCATGCCGATATAGTTGTAAAGAATGTGCTGGCAAAGATAAATAATAATAAATTGAGCGACTATCAACCCATGTCTGAAGTAATGTTTGTTACTATTGGAAAGGTAATTATTTCACCCAGTAATTAAAAAAACTCTATTTTTTTTCTTTTTCATATTTTAATATTTTTTTATTGATTAATAGAATAAGGGAGCTGGTCTTTTACCGATTTTTGGTGGTCTGGTTGTTGGAAGCTTCCTAGTTAAACAATTAAAAGGCAAAGATTTGACTGTCGATAGTACCTGGAAAACATTGAATGCCAAACAACAAAAGTAGGAACTTTAAACAAGTATTCGTTTGTTTATGTTTATGTCTCCTTCTCATTGTTCACTGTACACCGAACAATTAGGGAAACCCCCAGGACCAACTATTTTCGCATTTTTCTTTACACTTGTATAGCCTTGACTGTTTATAAATACACATCGGATTACCTTCCTCCCATAAATTATTTTACTAATAGATCGTAGATGCCATTTTGTATTGGTTGGTTTTCATAAATACGTACGCACCGCATTATATTAGCAATATTGATATACTACAGTATATCCGTTTTTTTTTTCTTACGCGATATAAATAAATTAAAGACTTTGATCACATAACAAAACATACACAAAATTACCAATGCTGATTTTCAATCGGGAAAAATCAATGACCAAAATAATGCAATTTTATTGCCAGAAACGAACGCGACTGAATAACAATGCTCACAATGCTAACTTGAGTACGCGATAACCTCGATAATCTTAAGTCAGAGAAATTTTATGAGAAATTTAACTACTCGCACACCTCACGGAAACATGCCGAGGAAAAATTGCGAGTGCCTTAGGGCAGTAAAGTATGAGAGAAATAATATCAGATATATGAAAGCGAGCAGATTTCTAAATAACTTTGAGGTATATGGATATTCCGCTAATAGTTATTAACAAATATAATGACTTGATTATATTTTTTCGACAGCCTTGGATACAATCATATTGGTTACAAGTGGAAGCCTCACTTAACAGGGTATGGTTTTAGACTTTTAGTTATTTTTAGGAAGTAATAAGCATTTAATTTATTGTTTGGTTGTTTGACTTAACAGTTAACACATGAAGTGACAGGACGAAAAGCAACATATAGAACCATCAAAAAATTTCCACGGAAGGTCAATGACGAGGAAGAAGACATGATTGAATTTTAATCGCCGTTAAAAAGAGTTAGAAATAAATACAACCCAGAAAATTAGACAATTGTATTTTCTATTGATGTGATTATTTTTTTAAGTTTTAAATCTTCCAATTCCAATATTACATTTGAAACTTACAAAGGACAAAAATGAAGATGAGCCAATATCCGAACAAAGTATTTACGACGTGTTTGATGATGATGAGATACAAACAACTCACGTAGATGATGATTACTGTAATTAATAGTAAGTTATCCTTTAATTAATACTGTTTTGTTCTCTTTTAAAGTATTTTTTTTTTATAATTATAATTTTCTTAGTAGCTTTACAAATTACCTTTTTGATAATATTTACTAGTTTTAGGCAAGGTTATTAATTAATAAATATTTTGTTTGACATTATCAAAGCGTTTGTATGTATTTTGTTATTTAATTAACAATCAATTCTACTATTTATAGTAGTCAAAATTGCATTATATATATGTAATTATATACATAACAAAATAATTTTATTGTTAATTAATTGTTTTTATAGTAATACAACAATTATATGTTTGATTAATTAATAATTTTGATATATAAGTTTATTTCTAATTAATATTTTAATAATTAACAATTCAATTTAAACAAAACATATATTATTCAAAAGCTCTATATAAGAAAATTTGAATGATAAGTTTTTATTTAAATTAGATTACTATATATGAAGGTATTAGTTGTAAATAATTAAAGTCATAAAATATAACATTTTATTTTTTATAATTAATATTTTCATAACTAATAATCTAATTTAAGCAATAATTTTTTAAAATAGATTATAAAAAAACAAAAAAGTTTTGAACCTTTTAAATGATATAAATTCAAGAAATCATATTATATTATTTTTTTATACAATTATTTATTATATTTTAAAATATAAAAATTATTTTATTATTTCAAGTAAAATTATTATATCTATAAAATTACAACTATATATATATGTATGTAAATTAAATTTTTAATTAATTAATTATATACAATAAATTATTTTATTAATCTATTTTTTAAAAAAAAATTTTATATAAAATATATTAATAAATATGTATTAATAATAAACTTTAATAATAGACATAATGAAAATTTAAATGAATTTAAACTTTAAAACATTGTTAATTATATTATATTTTTATTAAATATTATAATTAAATAGTACACAATATACTGTATATTGTAATAAAATTTGAAAAAATATTTGTCTATATAATAAATATTATTAAAAAAAATATTTTAATAAAATAACAAATATTGTTGTTATCTTAATAATAATATTTTTAAAATCTATTTTTTAATATTAAATATAAATAAAATAAATCAAAATATTTTTAATAAAAAAAAATCATATATATATAATTGTGTAAATATTTTAAATTAAATATAATAATTTATATAATTTCAAGATTTGATAAAAATAACAAATTATTTTTTAAATGATTTTATATATTTTAATAAAAATTATTAATACTTTAAAAAAAATTTGAAAATAAGTAATAAAATTTTTAAAAAAATAATTAAGATTAAAAATAATAAAAATTTATAAAATAATATATATTAATAATATTTGTATTGCACATATAAATTTTAATTCTAAATAAATAAAATTTAAAAAAATTAAAAAATTAAAAAAA